CAAGATACCGAGCGTGATAGCACCTGGAGGCCTACCGGGTCTGAGGCGGAGGGAAGTAAAATTAAATCAGTGCATGCTGAGAGCGCTGCCGAGGACGGGCGGATGGTAGTAAAGTCGGAGCCCTCGTCCGCCTTGTTACTTCCATTCACCCAAAACATAATGAATGTCCAAATTTCGGAGCAATTTATGGCTCCGCAATTCAAAATGTATAACGGGACAACGGACCCCGCGTCCCATATCCAAACGTTCTCGAATGCAATGGCGTTCCGAACGGGCAATGATGCCATTTGGTGCCGAGCGTTTTTGCTCTCATTGGAGGACGAGGCATTGGAATGGTTCAATACCCTCCCCCCTAATTCAATAGAAAACTTTACCGGGTTAAAGCAGCTATTCATTAAACAATTCGCGGCCAGTAGTACCCAAGACTTGACCGTATTCGAATTAATGACCCTCAAGCAGGGGAAGGATGAAGCGCTGCGGACGTTTATGGACAGGTATCAGAAGACCGTCCGGCGCGTGAAAAGCCTGACGCCAGAGCTTGCCCTTCACTATATCCTGCCGGCTCTAAAGCCGGGGCCGTTTAAGGATAGCGTCTGCAGACGAGCGCCCAAAACAATGGAAGAGTTGAGGGAACGAGCGGCGGATGAGATAAGGGTGGAGGAGATGAAGCTCTCATACAAGAGGGAGAATCAGGAGGCCAGTGGAGAAAGGACGGACGATAATAAGCCCGGTCAGTCGACGGGGAAAACGTCCGGTCCTAGGCCCAGGGAGCAGAATAAGGGACCCCGTTTCCAACAGTACACACCTCTGAACGCCCCAAGGGAGAAAATCCTCCGAGAGGCCCTAAGCGCAGAATTGATACCGGAGCGGGAAGGGCTCCCGACAGCGAAGAACGATGACCGGAGCAAGCACTGTGCATACCATAAAAATATGGGTCATACCACCGAGGAGTGTTGGACCCTCAGGGATAAGATAGAGGAGCTCATCCGGGCGGGAAAGCTTAAGAAATACGTCCGTGATGAGCGCCCGCCACAATCAACCGAACGGCCTGCTCAGAGGTCGGCGTACCGAAAAGATAAGTCGAGGAGCGCGAGAGCGGAGCGACCCCGCTCAAAGAGGCGACCAAGCCGAAGTCGAAGCCGCAGCCGGGAACGCCCCTTGAGAGGACATATCAACACTATTTTGGGAGGATTCGCGGGAGGAGGATCGTCTTCCTCCGCCCGTAAACGCCATGTTCGGGCCCTCCAATCCGTGCATTTGGTGGACAAGCCACGCCGCTCCATGCCGCCCATTACCTTTTCGGACGAAGACTTTCACGCCCCTGATCCTGACCAGGACGACCCGATGGTCATAACGGCAGAGATAGCGCGGTATGAGATCAGTAAGGTTCTGGTTGACCAGGGAAGCTCGGTCAACATCCTCTATTGGAAGACCTTCTTGCAGATGGATATCTCGGAGGACCTCATCGTCCCTTATGATGGGCAGATAATGGGCTTCGCGGGAGAAAGGGTTGATACTAGGGGGTACGTAGAATTGAGAACAAGGTTGGGAACCGGACACTCCAGCGAGGAGAAGAGGGTCCGATACCTGCTGGTAGAAGCTAACACGTCGTATAACGTACTGCTCGTAAGGCCGTGTCTAAACGCATTTGGAGCAATCATCTCTACCCCTCACCTCACGATGAAGTACCCCTCCGAAAAGGGAACAATCTGTACGGTTCGGGCGGACCAGAAGACGGCACGGGAGTGCTACGCGGCGGGGTTGAAATTGCACGTCCGACCACTGAAGAGGCGGGCGGCTGGCTCTGAGGTGGCCATGGCAGACCTCGACCCAAGAACGAATACCGAGGACCGCCTGGAGCCTATTGGAGAAACCCAACCTATCTTGATAGGAAGGGAACCCAGTCAGACCACCCTCATCGCCAGGGAGTTGAACCCTGAGATGGAAAAGGAGTTGAGGGCACTCCTATGGAAGAATCGGGATCTATTCGCGTGGACGGCAGCCGACATGCCGGGCATCCATCCCGCGGTAATGTGTCATAAGCTCTCGCTTTTCCAAAACGCCCGCCCGATCGCCCAGAAAAGGCGAAGAATGGGCGAGGAGAAACGAAAGGCTGTGGAGGAGGAAGTAGAGAAGTTGAAAAAGATGGTTTTGTTCGGGAAGTCACGTACACCACGTGGCTAGCTAACGTGGTTATGGTGAAGAAGGCCAGTGGAAAGTGGCGCATGTGCACTGACTACACGGACCTGAACAAAGCCTGCCCGAAAGATTCGCACCCCCTACCCAGTATAGACGCCCTGGTGGACGGAGCTTCTGGGCATCGAGTGCTGAGTTTCCTGGATGCATATTCCGGATACAACCAGATTCCTATGTATGGACCGGACGTTGAGAAAACGGCATTCATAACAGAGAAGTCCAGCTTCTGTTATGAGGTCATGCCATTCGGCCTGAAGAATGCGGGGGCGACGTACCAACGCTTAATGGACAGGATCTTCCGGGACCAAATAGGCCGGTGCATGGACGTATATGTGGACGACATGGTAGTCCGGTCCGCGGAGGGAGAGGGGCATCTTAAAGACCTTGAGGAGGTGTTTCGCCAAGTGAGGAAGTTCGGCATGCGCCTAAACCCCGCCAAATGCACATTTGGGGTAGCTGCCGGAAAGTTCTTGGGTTTCATGTTGACATCCAGGGGGATCGAGGCCAACCCGGACAAGTGTGAAGCAATACTACAAATGCAAAGTCCGACCACCCTTAAGGAAATCCAAAGACTGGTCGGACGCCTCACCGCCTTGTCCCGATTTATCCCCAACCTGGCGGCAAGAATGAGGCCGGTCCTGCGAAAATTGAAGAAAGGGGCCGGCCCGGCCTGGGACGACGAGTGCGAACGAGCGTTCCAGGACGTCAAAACCATCCTTGTAAACCCACCAGTCATGAATCGCCCGGTCCCAGGAGGGGACCTACATATTTTCCTAGGAGTGTCGGAGACGGCCATCAGTGTCGTGCTAATGCAGGAACGGCCTCAGGCGAGGCTAATTTATTTTGTGAGTCGCACGCTCCTAGACGCCGAAATTCGATACCAGCGGGTAGAGAAGGTGGCCTTAGCTTTGTTGCACGCCTCCCGAAGGCTTCGTCCTTACTTCCAAAGCCATCAGGTGATAGTCAGGACCGACTTCCCTATCTCCAAAATCCTCAGGAAGCCGGACTTAGCCGGACGGATGGTGGCATGGGCGGTTGAGCTCTCGGAATTCGGCTTACGGTATGAGCCGAGAGGATCGGTCAAAGGCCAACACTTAGCAGATTTCGCGGCCGAGCTACCACCGTCCAGCCAGGACGAGTTGAACTTGTATGTGGATGGAGCGTCTGGTCGATCAATCTGCGGGGCCGGCATCGTGCTCGAGGGCCCCAACGGATTCCTGCTGGAACATTCCCTGATCTTCAAGTTCAAGGTATCCAACAATCAGGCCGAGTATGAGGCCCTGGTGGCCGGCCTTGAGCTGGCAAAAGACATGGGGGCAAGGAGAATAACGTGCCGGACGGACTCAGAGCTGGTAGTGGGTCAAATGAATGGCAATTTCCAAGTCCGGGAGGAACGTCTATTGCGGTATTTCCAACGAGCAACGGACCTCGCAAAAGCGTTCGATAAAGTTGACATTCAGCACATTCACAGGGAACAAAACGCGAGGGCAGACGTACTATCTAAACTTAGTTCGGGAAAGGAAAAGGGACAGTTAACTACTGTCGTGCGGCAGGTTCTACTTCAGCCTTCAGTAGAGTGTTCGGCAGTGTCCGACGGGGGAAAGGATTGGCGAACAGAAATCAGGGAAATCATGACTTGCCAGGATGAAGGGCGGACGGTAGGCCCGCGCGAAGCCAAGAAGGTCGCCCGATATTTTGTGGTGGGGGATGACCTGTATTGCAGAGGATTCTCTTCCCCTCTCCTCAACTGCTTGGGAGAGGCAGAAGCACAGTACGTCATGGACGAGCTCCATAACGGCATTTGCGGCTTTCACACAGGTTGGCGGACGCTAAAAGCCCGGCTACTGAGAGCCGGATATTACTGGCCTACCGTGGAAGCAGACACAAGGGCGTTCGTCCAAAGATGCGTTCGCTGCCAAGAGCATTCCAACAACTCCAACCTACCGCCGCACGACCTCCATTCAATATCTTCCCCGTGGCCGTTCGCCCAATGGGGTATGGACATCGTAGGACCGTTCCCAGTAGGGCAGGCACAGAAGAAGTTCCTCCTGGTGGCGGTGGATTACTTTACCAAGTGGGTAGAGGCCGAGGCCCTGGCAACCATCACGGCCGCCCAAGTCCAGAAGTTCTGCTGGAAATTGATATGTCGCTTCGGCCTCCCTCGGTCAATCATCACAGATAACGGCCGGCAATTTATCGACAAGAAACTAGCCGAATTCTTCAAAGGATTGGGGATTAAGCACGTCACCAGTTCAGTAGAACATCCCCAAACGAACGGACAAGCGGAAGCAATGAATAAGACCATAGTCTCGGAGCTTAAGCGGCGTTTGGGAGAAAAGAAGGGAGCGTGGGTGGACGAGTTACCCGAGGTCCTATGGGCGTATAGGTGCACACCTCATGGAACCACAGGCGAAACCCCTTTTAACTTAACTTATGGTACTGATGCTATGTTACCGGTGGAACTGGGTGAACCGTCCCTGAGGCGGCAAGTCGAAGACCTGAACCTCAACGACCAAGAGATGAGGATCGAGTTGGACTCCCTAGATGAACGGCGGGACCGGGCGGCATTGAGGGCCGAAGCATGCAAACGGATGGTTGAAAGAAAATACAACTCCAAAGTCCGGCCAAGGAGCTTCCAGGGGGGGACCTAGTGTGGAGGAAAGCTGGTGACGCCCGCCGAAACCCAGCTCATGGAAAGTTGGCTGCCAAGTGGGAAGGGCCGTTCCGAGTAATGGAGGCCCTAGGAAACGGAGCGTATAGGCTGGAGCGCATGGACGGACGTCCCATCCCTAACACTTGGAACGCCACGCATCTAAAATTTTACTTTAGTTAATCACGTGTACTCTTATTTCCAAAAAATGACAGACAGGATATTTCTCTTCTACGAACGTTATTTTATTTTGTAGAGACCAGAAACCGTTCTCAACTCGGCCATAGGAGGATCGTCCGCCCCATTAAGACCAAGCTGGTGAAAAAGAGCGTTCCAAAGAGGACGACTCTCAGCTTGGTTGGGCGACGAAGCGAAGGACCGTCCGCCCTACCAAACTCCAAGCTGGTGAAAAAGTGTTCCAACGAGAACAACTTTCAGCTTGGTGGGGCGACGAAGCGAAGAACCGTCCGCCCTATCAAACTCCAAGCTGGTGAAAGAGTGTTCCAACGAGAACAACTCTCAGCTTGGTGGGGCGANTCGGTCAACATCCTCTATTGGAAGACCTTCCTGCAGATGGATATCTCGGAGGACCTCATCGTCCCTTATGATGGGCAGATAATGGGCTTCGCGGGAGAAAGGGTTGATACTAGGGGGTACGTAGAATTGAGAACAAGGTTGGGAACCGGACACTCCAGCGAGGAGAAGAGGGTCCGATACCTGCTGGTAGAAGCTAACACGTCGTATAACGTACTGCTCGTAAGGCCGTGTCTAAACGCATTTGGAGCAATCATCTCTACCCCTCACCTCACGATGAAGTACCCCTCCGAAAAGGGAACAATCTGTACGGTTCGGGCGGACCAGAAGACGGCACGGGAGTGCTACGCGGCGGGGTTGAAACTGCACGTCCGACCACTGAAGAGGCGGGCGGCTGGCTCTGAGGTGGCCATGGCAGACCTCGACCCAAGAACGAATACCGAGGACCGCCTGGAGCCTATTGGAGAAACCCAACCTATCTTGATAGGAAGGGAACCCAGTCAGACCACCCTCATCGCCAGGGAGTTGAACCCTGAGATGGAAAAGGAGTTGAGGGCACTCCTATGGAAGAATCGGGATCTATTCGCGTGGACGGCAGCCGACATGCCGGGCATCCATCCCGCGGTAATGTGTCATAAGCTCTCGCTTTTCCAAAACGCCCGCCCGATCGCCCAGAAAAGGCGAAGAATGGGCGAGGAGAAACGAAAGGCTGTGGAGGAGGAAGTAGAGAAGTTGAAAAAGATGGTTTTGTTCGGGAAGTCACGTACACCACGTGGCTAGCTAACGTGGTTATGGTGAAGAAGGCCAGTGGAAAGTGGCGCATGTGCACTGACTACACGGACCTGAACAAAGCCTGCCCGAAAGATTCGCACCCCCTACCCAGTATAGACGCCCTGGTGGACGGAGCTTCTGGGCATCGAGTGCTGAGTTTCCTGGATGCATATTCCGGATACAACCAGATTCCTATGTATGGACCGGACGTTGAGAAAACGGCATTCATAACAGAGAAGTCCAGCTTCTGTTATGAGGTCATGCCATTCGGCCTGAAGAATGCGGGGGCGACGTACCAACGCTTAATGGACAGGATCTTCCGGGACCAAATAGGCCGGTGCATGGACGTATATGTGGACGACATGGTAGTCCGGTCCGCGGAGGGAGAGGGGCATCTTAAAGACCTTGAGGAGGTGTTTCGCCAAGTGAGGAAGTTCGGCATGCGCCTAAACCCCGCCAAATGCACATTTGGGGTAGCTGCCGGAAAGTTCTTGGGTTTCATGTTGACATCCAGGGGGATCGAGGCCAACCCGGACAAGTGTGAAGCAATACTACAAATGCAAAGTCCGACCACCCTTAAGGAAATCCAAAGACTGGTCGGACGCCTCACCGCCTTGTCCCGATTTATCCCCAACCTGGCGGCAAGAATGAGGCCGGTCCTGCGAAAATTGAAGAAAGGGGCCGGCCCGGCCTGGGACGACGAGTGCGAACGAGCGTTCCAGGACGTCAAAACCATCCTTGTAAACCCACCAGTCATGAATCGCCCGGTCCCAGGAGGGGACCTACATATTTTCCTAGGAGTGTCGGAGACGGCCATCAGTGTCGTGCTAATGCAGGAACGGCCTCAGGCGAGGCTAATTTATTTTGTGAGTCGCACGCTCCTAGACGCCGAAATTCGATACCAGCGGGTAGAGAAGGTGGCCTTAGCTTTGTTGCACGCCTCCCGAAGGCTTCGTCCTTAGTTCCAAAGCCATCATGTGATAGTCAGGACCGACTTCCCTATCTCCAAAATCCTCAGGAAGCCAGACTTGGCCGGACGGATGGTGGCATGGGCGGTTGAGCTCTCGGAATTCGGCTTACGGTATGAGCCGAGAGGATCGGTCAAAGGCCAACACTTAGCAGATTTCGCGGCCGAGCTACCACCGTCCAGCCAGGACGAGTTGAACTTGTATGTGGATGGAGCGTCTGGTCGATCAATCTGCGGGGCCGGCATCGTGCTCGAGGGCCCCAACGGATTCCTGCTGGAACATTCCCTGATCTTCAAGTTCAAGGTATCCAACAATCAGGCCGAGTATGAGGCCCTGGTGGCCGGCCTTGAGCTGGCAAAAGACATGGGGGCAAGGAGAATAACGTGCCGGACGGACTCAGAGCTGGTAGTGGGTCAAATGAATGGCAATTTCCAAGTCCGGGAGGAACGTCTATTGCGGTATTTCCAACGAGCAACGGACCTCGCAAAAGCGTTCGATAAAGTTGACATTCAGCACATTCACAGGGAACAAAACGCGAGGGCAGACGTACTATCTAAACTTAGTTCGGGAAAGGAAAAGGGACAGTTAACTACTGTCGTGCGGCAGGTTCTACTTCAGCCTTCAGTAGAGTGTTCGGCAGTGTCCGACGGGGGAAAGGATTGGCGAACAGAAATCAGGGAAATCATGACTTGCCAGGATGAAGGGCGGACGGTAGGCCCGCGCGAAGCCAAGAAGGTCGCCCGATATTTTGTGGTGGGGGATGACCTGTATTGCAGAGGATTCTCTTCCCCTCTCCTCAACTGCTTGGGAGAGGCAGAAGCACAGTACGTCATGGACGAGCTCCATAACGGCATTTGCGGCTTTCACACAGGTTGGCGGACGCTAAAAGCCCGGCTACTGAGAGCCGGATATTACTGGCCTACCGTGGAAGCAGACACAAGGGCGTTCGTCCAAAGATGCGTTCGCTGCCAAGAGCATTCCAACAACTCCAACCTACCGCCGCACGACCTCCATTCAATATCTTCCCCGTGGCCGTTCGCCCAATGGGGTATGGACATCGTAGGACCGTTCCCAGTAGGGCAGGCACAGAAGAAGTTCCTCCTGGTGGCGGTGGATTACTTTACCAAGTGGGTAGAGGCCGAGGCCCTGGCAACCATCACGGCCGCCCAAGTCCAGAAGTTCTGCTGGAAATTGATATGTCGCTTCGGCCTCCCTCGGTCAATCATCACAGATAACGGCCGGCAATTTATCGACAAGAAACTAGCCGAATTCTTCAAAGGATTGGGGATTAAGCACGTCACCAGTTCAGTAGAACATCCCCAAACGAACGGACAAGCGGAAGCAATGAATAAGACCATAGTCTCGGAGCTTAAGCGGCGTTTGGGAGAAAAGAAGGGAGCGTGGGTGGACGAGTTACCCGAGGTCCTATGGGCGTATAGGTGCACACCTCATGGAACCACAGGCGAAACCCCTTTTAACTTAACTTATGGTACTGATGCTATGTTACCGGTGGAACTGGGTGAACCGTCCCTGAGGCGGCAAGTCGAAGACCTGAACCTCAACGACCAAGAGATGAGGATCGAGTTGGACTCCCTAGATGAACGGCGGGACCGGGCGGCATTGAGGGCCGAAGCATGCAAACGGATGGTTGAAAGAAAATACAACTCCAAAGTCCGGCCAAGGAGCTTCCAGGGGGGGACCTAGTGTGGAGGAAAGCTGGTGACGCCCGCCGAAACCCAGCTCATGGAAAGTTGGCTGCCAAGTGGGAAGGGCCGTTCCGAGTAATGGAGGCCCTAGGAAACGGAGCGTATAGGCTGGAGCGCATGGACGGACGTCCCATCCCCAACACTTGGAACGCCACGCATCTAAAATTTTACTTTAGTTAATCACGTGTACTCTTATTTCCAAAAAATGACAGACAGGATATTTCTCTTCTACGAACGTTATTTTATTTTGTAGAGACCAGAAACCGTTCTCAACTCGGCCATAGGAGGATCGTCCGCCCCATTAAGACCAAGCTGGTGAAAAAGAGCGTTCCAAAGAGGACGACTCTCAGCTTGGTTGGGCGACGAAGCGAAGGACCGTCCGCCCTACCAAACTCCAAGCTGGTGAAAAAGTGTTCCAACGAGAACAACTTTCAGCTTGGTGGGGCGACGAAGCGAAGAACCGTCCGCCCTATCAAACTCCAAGCTGGTGAAAGAGTGTTCCAACGAGAACAACTCTCAGCTTGGTGGGGCGACGAAGCGAAGGACCGTCCGCCCTATCAAACTCCAAGCTGGTGAAAAAGAGTGTTCCAACGAGAACAACTCTCAGCTTGGTGGGGCGACGAAGCGAAGGACCGTCCGCCCTACCAAACTCCAAGCTGGTGAAAAAGAGTGTTCCAACGAGAACAACTCTCAGCTTGGTTGGGCGACGAAGCGAAGGACCGTCCGCCCGGACAAGGGAAGTGAAATCCCCACCCAGGCCGGACCATTATTAAAGTCAGCTAACTTTGTAAGAATAAAAGCAAACATAAGGACGCATGAGAGATTGGAAAAAGCAACTGTGCATTAATCATTGACGCTAAAACGCGCCCAGATTTACAAAAGGACCGTCCGGCCAACCTCTGGACAATCCGAGATGTTGGGCGGACGGCCACAGGATACACATCAAAAAATAAAAGCAAATAAAAACTTATTCATCTCCAACGACCCTGGCCCCCACGGTCGGCTCATTCTCCTCGGCGGCA